GCTTGGGGAGTGCTTTGAGCATCACGGGATCTATGTGGTGCCTGGAGGTTGAGTTTTGGGGAGAGCCAGTTGTGCTTGAGCCATGCAGGAACTGTTGTGTTCCAGGCTGTGACAGACGCTGTGAGGACAGCGGCGAGCAATGTCCTGGTGGCACTGGTCCGCTCCCACCTGCGTGAGGTCCTGTCAGCGCTGCAGGGCCACCTGAAGAGCCTGCAGGAGATGTCGGGGGAGTGGGTGCTCACCACCCTGCGCAACGTGGCTGCCCGCTACAGTAAAGTCCCCGGCCTGATGCTCTACATTACTGTGGGTGCCCAGTGTGAAACAGGACTCCCGCTCCTGCCCAAAACATCTGGGCTGGGAACAGGGGAACCAGCTAGAGACCAAATGTGATGGACTTTGCCCCTTGCCTTGCCGCTGGTGCCCCGGGCTTCCCTGCACCCCTCAAGGAAGGCTCCCCCACACAGGTGCCCTGGCAGGAACCTCCCTGTGCCATAGGCTCCCCCAGTGCAGCGTCAGCTCTGCCAGCCCCCTGCCCTGGCACAACTCCATGGCCCCAGTGCCCCACAGCCCCTGTCCTGATGCACGGCACAAGCAGGGCACAGAGCCCACGGGCTGTGGCAGTTCTGGCTGATGGGGACTGCCCCCTGTGCAGCGCTGCAGTGTGTGCCCTTTGCTGGAGCAACACTGACGACCTTGCACAGCGTGCTGAGCAAGGTGCAGAGCGGCCAGATGCTGCGCGCCATCTGTGGGGGTGAGTGTTGAGATCACAGCAGGGCCTGCAGGGAGGGGAAGGGGTTGGGATGGTCCTTGTTGCTGGGGTYTGGGGTGGGCATGGCAGGGAGTGGGAATCACCATGAGAGGGACCGTTTGGGAAGAAAGGGGAAAGGGCAGCAGCRGGCAGTGTCAGGGAGCAAAGCTGTGCAGAGGAGGAGGTGGTGGTTTGGGAGAGGAGAGAAACAAGGCAGCATTTCAATCCAGGTGTCTCAGACCATGGCCCGAGTTGCCCCTGAAGCCTGATCTCCCCCWCTGAGCCCTAGCACCCCTGGCCTGGGCACAAAGCAGGCTTGGGGAGTGCTGCGAGGTCTCCTGCCAGGCAGGGACTCGGACACCAAGCTGTTTCTCTTCCTGTGCTGCAGTGCTGGAGCAGTGGTGCAGAGGCATCAACATGTACTTCCACGAGTGGGAGAAATGTGCCTTCCCTCGAGTGGGAGCTGCCCAGCTCTGCTCCCCCGTTCACCTGCTCTTTTGCCGTGTGGGCAAGAGCTGGCAGGGCTGCAGAGAGGAAGAGGTGAGTGCTGCTGCTCCAGCAGCCCTGGGCCGCATCAGCAAGGGCACCCATGGGGTGGTGGGGCTGTGCATGGAGTCAAAGGGAGCAGGCTGGTCACAAAAGTGCCCCAAGAGGGGAGTCCATAGACAGTGTTGTGGGGCAGGTGGTGCCAGGCAGTGGGTAGGAGTGCAGCTGCATGTGGTGTCCCTGAGGTGTCATCCAGGAGGCTGGGGCTGCCTGCTGGGAAGTGGCCAAATGCTGGGGCCATTTGGCAGGGTGGGCTAGGGGTGCCAGGAGGAAACGCTCCCTGTGCTGGCAAATGAGCCCTTGTGAGCAGGGGTGAAGGGGAAGGGAAAGACTCCAGGTGGGAAGGGCAAGCTGGTGTGTGGGAGAGGCAAGCTCTGGAGAGATCCCCAGCTCTTTACGCGGCGTGTCCCTGTGCCTCATCAGGTGAAGCAGGCCGTGCTCAGGGCGATGGGTGCCATGATGGGTGTCCTCGTGCGCCTGGAGAAGCACCGCACGCATGCCTGGCAGAGGCTTCCCTGGCTGCTGCAGCAGTACTGGGAAGTGCGGGAGCCCATTGGGGTGACCACAGTGAGGCTCTGTGAGGGGCACAGCATTGCTGGGGCCCATGGGGCTGGTGCAGGGCACTGGGGAGCTGCAGGGTGCCGGAAGGAGCAGGAACCTTTGAAGTTTGAATACCTTTGAGCAGGAAGACGGGTCTGGGGCTTTGCAGGCTCTTTCTGGAAGAAATTACATGGAGGGAGGACCATGAGGAGAGGATGGACCCTGGACATCCACAGGGAAGACTGTGCTGCCTTCTGTGTTGGGGGGCATAAGGAGCTCTGTCCTTACAGCCAGGGCTATATCCAGCCCCTGTGATGGAGAGAGGTGGTGAGGGAGACAGTGTGGTGGGAAAGGTCATCCTGGTGGGGCTGCACGGAGGAGAGAGACCTCATGGCTGGGCCAGCAGCCAAGTGCAGCCTGGGGTCTCCCTGGAAGTGGGTTCTGGCCATGGAACCATCCCAGCAATGCCAGTTTCTTTTCCCTGTGGCTCGCAGTGACAGCTGCCCTCTCCCTCCTGTGCTCCCTTGCAGAGTCTGCACTATTTCCTGCGGGCTGCAGCAAATGTTCCTCACATGCCTCATGTGAAGCTTCTGGCCATCAATGCTGCTATGCATGAGCAGGTAAGACCTGATGTTGTGTCGCTAGCCTGGGTGTGTGCAGGGCCCTGGGCTTTTGGCCGTGAGTCCAATGCCAGAGCTGCTCGTGAGACGATTACGGAGAGCAGTTTCTTTTCTGTCACCCTCTGTGCTGCTCTGGCTTTCCCTGAAATGCCCCTTGTTCCCACAGCTCTGCAATGAGACGGAGACGCCCAGCCCGGAGCACAGAGCAGAGCTGTGCCGCTGTGTTGTGCTGCAGGGTAGGGAAGGAGAGCCGGCCCTGCAACGCCGTGTCTCACCTGCTGTCTTGCCAAGGTGCCCATGTGGGATGCTGGCCACTAATGCCAAGCATGATTTCTTCCCTGCAGCCCAGATTTGCCTGGAGGAGATGATTGTGTTCCTCTACTACAAGCTGAGGAACAGGAGCATGGCTGATTGTGCGGCAGCGGTGCAAATGCTGCAAGCTCTGGTCTGTTCTGAGGGTAAGTAACATGCACTGGAGAAATGGAGTGACTCTGAGATTGGCAATGTGGCCCCACTTTTCTGCCACACTTGTGCACAAAAATCCAGGGAGCTGTGTCAAATCCCTCTGGAAATGGGAGCTCAGCCTCAGCACTCACCTTCCTTTGTCTCTTGCAGTTCCAAGTGTGAGGGAGAACGTGCCCCTGTTGGTAAAACTCGCACAATCTATGTGCCACGACCCTGCAGCACAGGTGAGCTAGTTTGGACAGGGATGGTACTGCTGCTGGAGCCAAGCAGTCCTTTCCCTGGCACAGAGGCTGGCGAGGCCAAAGCAGCAGTCAAAGGCAGGGCTTGGGGCCAGAGACCAGTGGTGAGTGCAGAGCAAGGGCTGCTGCTTCAGCCTCCTTGTTTCAGCCTGGCCAGCGGGGCTGCAGCGCCGTGAAGGCAGCCAAACCTGGGCTTCTGGTGTGGGTTGGGACTGCAGCCTCTGCAACAGCAGTGAGATGTGAGAGGTGAGAACAGCAGTGCTGTGTTTCACTGGGGAGCTGCCGCACACCAGCACACCGGGCTGCTAAGCATGGGACGTGGTGGCGCACATCTTCAGCGAGTTCAGCCGCTCCTCAGACAAACTGGTAGGGCAGAGTGTGTCGCTGTTTTGTGTCCCATGTCCCACGGGTGCCATGGGTGTCCCAACATTGGGTGTCCTGGCTGGTGAACAGGAGCAATGATAGCAGTGTCGTGGAGGGAGCAGCCTCCCATCACCATGTACTGCAAAACCTTGGAATGGGCATTAATGGGTGTTTCCCACTTCTGTCTTGCAGTCATCAGGAAACCTTTCTGAGGTGGAAGCCCAAAAGGAAAAGGCCATCCAGCATCTAGGCACGTTAGATGTCTCCACTGGAGCACTGACAAAAGTCAGTCATCCACTGCTGGATGCTGCTGCTTCTCGTCCTTCCTCTGTGTGTTGACACCTCCCCATCTTAGATGCTAAAGATGCTAAGTCAAGAAGAGCTGGGGCTGAGCTCTGTGGGGCTGCACTTGCTTGTTCAGTGCATGCTATGTCTGAATCAAGCACTGCTGGGCACGTCTTGGCTGCCTTCTCTAAATGAGACATAGGGATTGGCAGGACTGTAAGGCATCGCCTTGCAGCAGGGATGTCCCTGTCCCTGGGGATGAGCTGTGGCAGCTGCTCTCAGCAAGCAGGCAGCCAAAGGGAGGGGGAAAGGTGTACGAAGAAAGGCAGGCAAGAAAGAGAGAAGGTGGAGGAGGAAGCCAGGGTGGGACTGAGGGAAGGAGTGAGGCCCAGGGGCTGGTCTGGTGCTGCAGAAGCAGCAACAACAGGAGGAGTGGGAGGGAGAGAGGCAAATAGCGACATGCTCAGTGGCCCGGTTCTTGCCTGCAGCTTCTGTGGCCGAAGCTGCTGCAATATGTGGTGCCGGCCCAATACACAGGAGTGCTGGTCCCGCTCTGCCGCTGCCTGTGTGAGCTGGCCAAGAGGCAGGAAAGAGCAGCATTCGAGGTGGAGCAGAAAGCCCACAAGCTCCTGCAGTCTGAGGAGCAAGGTGGGAAGCAGAAGGCGAAGGCGGCGCAGCTGGAGTCCCCTTTAGCTGTGTGCAGGGTCGTGGGACATTGTGTGAGCTGCGCATCTTATGTGGCTTTTCTTTGTGCCCACAGCTGCTCTGCCAGAACCTCAGGCCCTGCTGGTTTGCCTGTTGGTGAGTAAGAGGACCCCAGGAAGGAGCTTTTGTGGTTGCAGGGAGGGCAGTGGGAGGAAGAGATGGTGCTGAGGCCAGTGCAGGGCACCCAAGGAGGTGGCAGGAGGATGTCAGAGGGTGCCTGAGCTGCCCCTACCCATCAGGAGCTCCTACCCCACTTGGGGAATGGCAGCGCACAGGCGAGGCTGTCGGCTGCCTCCTGCCATCCAGGGCAATGCCAACCCCCCTGACTGCCTGCTTGTGGGGCGGCCAGGGCTCCTGGGGCWCTCACAAACCCATCTCTCTTGTGCCCTGGCCTAGGTGGTGGCAGCGGTGACTCCCCACGCAGGCGGTGGCCGTGGAGCTGCGGCCCTGCAGCTGCTGCAGGTGCTTCCCGCATGATCCATGCAAGCGTGGGGGCGAGCTGGGCTGCAGAGATCCCCCTGCTGCTGCAGCAGCTGGCAGGTAAAGTGCTGGTGGGAGAGAGAGGCTGCGTGCAGAGAGGGCAGCTCCTAGGCTGGCGGAGGGGATGGGGCCGAGTTTGCCAGAGCTTCTCAGCTCAATGGCCTGAGGCTTTGGGGCTGAGACACAGTGCTGGAATAGCAGCAAGGGCATCTGATTGCTCTGGCTTTGCAGGAACAACTCCAAGCACTCTGGACAGGGCTGAATGGGAGAGCCTTCTGCTGAAGGTACAGCATCCCTGTGGGGCACACGTGGATGGGGCAAGCAGGGCTGGGAAAAGTGCTGGGAGGAACCTCAGAGCTCCCTGCCGAAGCGCTGAGCGGCACAGCATATCCGGAGGCCTCAGTGGCTGCCCTGGCCACAGGTGCTGCCCGCTCATAAGAGCTGCTCTCGGCACGTGCAGAATGGCTGAGAACGAAGGCAGCTGAAGGCTGGGGCAGAGGCCTCCCTGCCCATGGTACTGCTGTGTGTGCTGTGCTGGTGTATGCTGTGCCTAAGGGGCTTGAGTGGCACGTTAGGGGAAGATCGTGAGGCAGGGTGCAGGAGGGGCAGGTGGGGAGATGGGCAGTCATGAGGGGGTGCTTGGCCCCCACCGTATCCAGGGTCACTTAGGCGCACACAAGGTCCTGGCCAAGGATAGGGGGGCATTTGCTTTATCTCCCGTTTCATCCTAGTTCCTGCAAATGTCACTGGATATCATCGCCAGCGACATCTGGACCATTAACCTGAGCCAGGAACTGATCTGTCAGCTGGTCTGCTCTCCACGCCTGTCCTGGGAAAAGGTTTGTTCCCTTTTCACTGGTTTGTTCCCTTGCTGCGGCTCTACCGGGAGGGCTGCCAGGTGAGGGCTTGGGGCACGTGGCAGAGCCAGGTGGCTGCCACCAGCTCCAGCCTCTCCTTGTCCTTCCCGTGTGCCCCTCTCCTGTCACAGCGGTGCCAGTGCTGCTCGCCCTACTCACCTGGGCCGGGGTCTGTGGGGTCTTTCTGGCAGGGAGGCAAGGCAGCTGCTTCGCTTCCCATAGGAGACTCCTCCCCAGGAAGGAAGAGGAGGTTTCCTTGCTGGCTACCTAGAGTAGGTAGTCAGGTGTCAAGCCAGGCTCCACAGGCATCCCAGAGTGTGCAGTGTTCTCCACATACTGTGCTAGAGACAGATTGCCTCCAGACAGATTGCTCTCTTTGAAGAGCTCAAAGTATGTTTTTCTCCTCTGGGATCAGGATGCGCAACTAAAGCTCTTCCTGGTGCAGAGCATCACTGAAATCAGCCTAGCCATCCAGGCTGCTGGGGTCAGCCCCAGGTTAGAGCTTTGCCGCAAGCGGGAGCTGCTGCAGACACTGTTGGTGAGTGCCCAGAGCCAGGGCCATCGTGAAGGGGAGCTTTGGGCTCTGCCACGGGGCAGATTTGCGCAGAGGCGCAATGGTCTCCTGGGGCAGTGCGCAAGGTGCTGAGGACCGTGAGTCACATCCCCAGCTGGTGGATCACATCGGGTCTGACACTTGAGGCCATGGTAGAGAGTGCCTTGCATGTGGGCACTGAGGAGCTGCCAGCCACATGGGAGCCATAGGGGTGGTGGGGCAAGTGCCTGCAGGGTCTGTCGGCAAAGGCTGTGGCCAGGATGGTCAGGATGCCTCTCCCTGCTGCCTACGTTCAACGTTTCCTTCTGTGACTTGCAGGAGGTGATTCAGGAGGAGCCCCAGCAGTCCCCAGTGCACCCACGGGCCATTGTGGCCATGGAGCAGTTGAGGTAGGGTCTATCCCTGGGGCTGTGGGAATCAGTGTGTGTGTCAGCCCATCTGGCCAGCCTGGTTGGGGCTGCACATACTGGATTTGACGATGTTGATCCGGACAGAGGCAGTCATCAATTGACTTGCTCCGGAGAGCATTAGTAAGCCCCATCTCTGTCCTTTCTCCCTCTCTTCTCCTGACAGCAAGCTGAAGCTCCACATGAGCAGGGCAGAAAAGTGCAGCCTCCTGTCTCAGTGCTGCCAGGGTATCGTGTGCCTGCGTCACCCAGAGCAGGTGGAGGTGAGAGAGGAGTCAGCAGGAGCTGCTCCAGGAGTGCCGGTCCCCACGACCCTCTAGGCTCCGTGTGCTCCGGCAGCTGCTGGAGTCTGTGCGAGGTGCCCGGCCTCATCCGCTCTTTCTGGTGTCAGGCTGTACAGGCGTCGTTCCTGTGAGCGCTGAGCCAGCTCTCAGCAATCCTTTTCTGGGCAGAGCCAGCACCCATGCGCCTTCAGGACGTGGGGCAGGTGAGTGTCCCTGGGCAGCAGGGAAACATCTCCTCTGCCAGAGAGGGGCAGAGCTGTGGGGATCTCACCTGTGGGCCTGGTCTTTGGAGAGGAGCTTCGTTTTAACTTGGTGCAACCCTCAGACAGTTGGACAGTGAAATGGCCCTAGTTTCAGGCCCTCATGACCTGATTTCACATCCACGCTTTTGCCATCAGCTGCAGCAACTACCTTACATGTGACTTGCAGTGTCCTGCAGCCCTCTAGACCAGCCTCACCATCTCCCCAGCCACAGCTTGGAGCAAAGGGCACTGCACAAATCAATGCTGCCCACAGCAAGAGCAGCCTGGACTGAGGCTGTGGCAGGGAGGTCCCTATAGGGACTCCAGGTTGGCAGTGGTTCAAAGATTCAAAGACACCGGGGCCGTGGAGCTGGCACGGCCAGGAAAGGAGAATGATTGTGCAGTGAGACAGATCCTGCAGTGAGACAGATCCCCCTGTGGCAGGTTCTGCAGTGCTGGCTCACATCAGCACACTTGTGAGCGGGAGAGGGCCCTGCAGGTGTGCAACTGGCTGCTGGGCGCTTATGAAGAGGGTTGTGGGAACCAGGTGAGCAGGGAGGCTGCACACAGGGAGCTCTGTGTGGACAAGACCTGCGTTGAGGTCTCTTGGGTCTGCAGGACGGCCCCCAGCAGTGCCCCGGCTCACACGTGGCATGGCCGGGAGAGGGTGAGGAGCTGCTGGGCTCCTGGTGACCTCTTTGCCTGCCTCTTGCTCCCACAGCGAGGCCGTCCCTGCCAGCAGATTGGTTCCCTGGCGGCACTGCTGGAGCTTCTGACAAGCGACACCTCGAGTGCGTCCCGGCAGCACGCAGCAGCCTGCCTTGGGCACCTGCTCCAAATAGGAGGTAAGGAGAGCCGCACAGGGCCATTCTAGCGGCTGCCCAAGGGCAGGACCTGGTCCCAGCAAGAGGGACTGTCCCCCTAAATGGACGGCCCATTGCCTGGTTTCCAAAGGCATAAGATGTATGGTGAGGCCCTGGCTTCTCTGGCCTTCGCTGCCCTGTCTCAGATCCTCTACTGTGGACACGTGAGGCTGGTGCCACACTCCCCCTGCCCTACAAATGTAGCTCTTCTCCTTGTTGCAGCCCAGACCATGGATGTGGCACCCCAGGCCAAGGAGATGGGTACCTGCGTGAGAGGCTCAACACCATCGCCTCCAAGTCTCTGCTGGTGACCTCTGCCAGCATCACAAAAGTAAGTGGAGCCTGAGAAGTGGGCTTGTGTCAGAATGAGTGGTGGCAGGGGTGAGGGACAAATGCACTTCACTCGTATGAAAGAAATAATAACAGGATTTATTAATATGGACAATGATTTCACAAGATTCTATGGCAAGGTCACTTATTATTCACTGCATGGAGGCACAAGATAATACAAGATTATCTTGGGATACCCTCCCGTTGGGTCACGAGGTTCAGATTGGACCCCCTTGCTTTCCAGGCTCCTTCTGAGAGGAGTCTGGGTGCGGCTGAATCCAATCCTAGTCC